GATGAGGAAATAAATAAATTATACGCCAGGTATGAGTCACAAGTCGGGGCTGAGATGACAAAAGTTATAGGTTCTACTATTACCCAGATTTACACAGGTATAGCGTCATTATTTTTACCCATCCCACCGGAACGTCGACTCTATTTGTGGGAGGACCTAGAGAAAGACCCGTTTATTGAACACGCCTTGAGCTCTATCAGCTGCGTGCTGTACCACAAATACGGGATGTTTTTAGCCCCGGTGACGGCGGCGATTATCACAGCAAAGCATTGTCAATTTAAAGAGGAAAAAAATAATAATAATAATATACAAGATGGATACTACCCAGGGAGAAATAACCAAGATTCCAGAGGAGGAAACACCGAAGACGGAGCCAGTGACGCATGTCACAAAGAAGAAGAACAAAAAAAGAGTTGAAGATGGTTGAAAAAACGCCTTAGCCAGGCACCATAAAAATAATTACACATTGTGGTTTACCGTAGGTGGTGTAATAGCCACTGCTGTTGTTTCATTATTTATGTTATTTAAACCAAAACAAACACAACCACAGCCATCACCAACAGCCCCAGAGGAGATCAACCCTCATATTATGTTATAATTAAAATTATATTTCTATTAATATATATTGTGTCTGAGGGAAAAACATTCGTTAACGATGCATACCACGCCTTAGTGGTTTCCGGATTAGCAGTAGGATACGCTCGGTTGACTAAAATGATTATAAAACAACCGACTATAAAACTCGACTTCGACCTGCAGGATATTACTATGCTTACTATGAACATTGGTATGGCGATGGCCACCAAGGGCGTTCTGGTAAAACAAGGTATTATACCTGAAAATATTTTAAAGTAATATATATAATATGACCACGATAGCAATGATGGTTGGTGGAGCTCTTGTGAATGCCCTAGCATTTTCCGGGAGTAATTATCTATTTTCTAAATTATGAGAGTCAAACGCGGTTGAGGTAGAAGCGGAGAGAAAACGACACGATATAGCTGTAGAAAAACTGCAGACCGCACAGGCTGAATACGCTAAGAGACGCATGAAGAGATTAGATTTCATCAATAATCAACTACAACGGGAAAATCATTCTGTTAGAACTTTCAAGAACGTCGACGAAGCTATGAAAGAATACTACGTGCTAACAGGTAAACAACTAGAACCATTAGGCAATGCACCAACGATTTCTCAGTATTACACTCCTTCCGATGGGCAAAAATATCGTGAGTTGGTCTTCGTGGCACTGGGTTTAGCATCGACAGTGTTAATTGTGAAACAATTAGACTAATTACACAAATTATTATATCAAAAATGAGATACACACCATATCTTTGTCAATGGGTTCTTATTGGGAAAACTGAAATTTGTGGCAATAAAAGCCGCATTGAGGGTCATTGTTGTTTTCACTGTAAAGGTTATACTAACTATACGTGTTCGGTGTGTGGTATAGGAGTTAAAGGTCATTACCTTTATGGTATAGACCATATAGGATCTGTAGAACGTTTACGGGTGTCTCCTTCGTATTCACCTGGTTGATATAAATATCTAACAAGCGCGCGATCTGGAATTTTTGTTTCCTTTTTACGACGGGGTGCTGCTGCCTCTGATACAATGGTTTTCATACGGATTGCTTCGACTGGTCTGTTATCAAGTAGTCTTGTTATTTCATGATTCATGAAGTCAACCACCCGTGGAAGTCGTTCTACCCATTCAGTGTTTCTGTTATTAGGATCCGCTAAATCACGTGAATATTGGTATGAAAACAAACGTTCGGCTATGGAGCGATTGAATCTCTCTACTATAGCTTGACTTCGATGGGCTCCCACCTCACCGCGTCTAACTTCTACGTTATGCTTGGCTAGCAGTTTCGACACGGATCCCATGAATTCCCTGCCTGGATCGACTTGCAATAAATCAGGCCATGTAAGTCGGTGTAACGTGGTTAAATGATTGCTCCCTGTGGTAATTTTACAATGACTGACCCAAGGGAGATAACTCTCCTCGCCCCCGAACTGGCTTGTAAAATGGCTCAATAAAGAAGTCTAACAGTAACTGCATCAGCTTAGTAGTATTCCATACTTCCTAGGTATTGGACCACGAAACATGGTGTCAGAAGTGAACATGGACTCACAATACACTACGTATACAGTGTCAGAACTTTCTCTATGAAGCTTATGACAGAAATTCTGAGATTTGGGACGAGTAGACGAGTTACCTGCCGTCCGCCATTTTTGTTCCATGGATCAATGCCGCACGTGGCTTATCAAGGCAGATAAATGACTGTGGGGTATGGAACTATATGATTATATGAATGTATCATTCTCTGAAATGCCCCAACGAAATGTAGAGCTATCAAGACAATACTTCTACGAACTTTAATCATGTCAGAATCAGAAAATCAAGCTATAGGCCCGGAGCCACATGTCCCGACTGTCATTCATACACCTGTGAATATTCCACTCCCTCAGAAACTTGACTTAAAAGGGAATTTACCAAGTAATTTCAATAAATTCAAGCGATCATGGGACAACTACATTATTGCATCTAGACTTACAAATGAATCATCAGCTTTCAAGTGTGCTACACTGAAAACTTGTATAGGGTCTGATGTCCTTGATGTAATTGAGGGACTGAAGTTTGAACACCCTGAGGACATGAACAATGTTGAAATTGTGCTTCAAAAGTTAGAAAAATTCTGCATTGGAGAAGTTAATGAGATTTATGAGAGGTACTGTTTCAACAAAAGAGACCAAGAGATATCTGAAAGTATTGATTCCTATGCTACTACTTTAAGAACATTAGCAAAGACATGCAACTATGGTACTTCAGAAGATAGCCTGATATGAGATAGGATTGTTATGGGGATACATAACAATAACACCAGGAGAAGACTCCTCCAAGAATCCAAGCTTACCTTGAAAGTTGCATTGACATTTGTAGAGCTCATGAAACTGCAGCAACTGAAAACAATTAGTGCTTCTGCATCTGAGGAAGTGAGAACTGTGAAGTCTAAAAGAGGACAACATAAGGGGTCAAACTAGGGTGATGGAAGGAAAAAGAACCTAAGAAACATAGGGCAGAAGATAATATGAGAGAGTGTAAATTCTGTGGTCAAAAGCACATATTTGGATGTGACCGCTGTCCAGCTTGGGGAAAAGACATGCAGTAAATGCAAAAGAAGAATCACTTTGCACAGAAATGTCATATGAATACACAGAGGAAAGGAAGAAATAAGGCGAATGCTGTTGATGAAAGTGACTCGGATGATTATGTTGATGAAAGTGAATCAGATAAATTTGATGATTGAAGTTATGGTTCTGAAGATCAAGGGGCCTACATCATGTCCATGGATGTCAAGGAAAATGTGTCCAATGTAGATGATGAAAATCAGCAACAGTATCCAAAAAAACTCTTTGCAATGATGAACATGAATGGAAAAGATGTGAGGTTCCAACTTGACTGTGGATCAACAGTCAACATTCTCTCAGCAACTGTATACAAACAAGTCTTCAATGATGCTTACTTGAAGAAATTGGACAGATCAACAGCAACTCTGGTGATGTATAATGAGACAGAAACTGCTCCTCTTGGAAGAGATGTAACTGGTCAACCCTGCAAATGAAGAGAAATACAGTATTGAATTCATGGTTGTGAGAAGAAATCTGAAACAACTCTTGGGATCCAGAGCTATACAACAGATGCAGCTAATTAGTGTCAACAAAGAGAACATTTGTCAGCTGTGGGCATCAGTTGACAAACTTACCATGAAGGATGTCTCAGCAAATTTCAAAGATTTATTTGAAGGTGAAGGCAACCTGGTAGGTGATTTGCATTTAGAGCTAGACAGTAATGCTGAACCTGTCAAGATTCCCTGTAGGAAAGTTCCAATAGCTATGAAAGGAAAGCTGAAAGATGAGCTGGAAAGACTTACCAAAATGAACATTATCACACCAGTCACAGAACCAACAGAATGGATCTCTGCAATGGTGGTTGTTGTCAAACCCAGTGGACAAATTAGACTGTGTATTGATCCAAAACCATTGAACAAAGCTTTGAAAAGGAGTCATTATCAAATACCTACTATTGACGACATTCTGCCAGAGCTATCTAATGCTCGTTTCTTCACTTTAGCTGACACAAAAACGGATTTTGGCATGTGTCGTTGGACAAGGAAAGCAGTCTACTGACAACCTTCGAGACACCCTGGGGCAGATATAGATGGTTGAGGATGCCCTTTGGAATATCACCTGCACCCGAGGAATTTCAGAGAAGGATAAATGAAGATTTGCAGAATCTAGATGGAGTGAAAGCCATACATGATGATGTCTTGATCTATGGGATTGGACAAACTGATGAGGAGGCTGAACAAGACCATGATAGAAAATTGACAGCTTTCTTGAACAGATGTCGGGAGAAACAAATCAAGCTGAACAAGTCCAAGTTCAAGTTGAAGTTACCTGAAGTTCCATATCTGGGGCATGTCTTAACAAAGAATTGTCTGAAGATTGATCAATCCAAAGTGGAAGCCATTGAAAAAAATGCCAGCCCCATCAGACAAACAAGGAGTACAACGTATTCTTGGAATGGTGAACTTTGTACAAACGTTTGCTCCCAAACTCTCTGAACTTACAGCACCACTGAGATCTCTGCTTTTAGATGAATCTGAATTCAGATGGGATGAGCAAATTCACGGAAACACTCTGAGGAAGATCAAGAGAGTTCTTTCTGAACCCCCAGTGCTCAAGTACTTCGACAACGAAGCTGCAACGTCTTTGCAGTGTGACGCTTCGCAGAATGGTCTCGGTGTATGCCTAATGCAAGAAGGTCAGCCAGTTGCGTATGCATCTCGAGCCCTGACATCATCAGAAAAAAACTATGCACAGATAGAAAAGTAACTGCTCGCTATCATCTTCGGAGGAATTGAACACTTTGAACAGTACACCTACGGGAGGAAAGTACATGTCATCACTGACCACAAACCATTAGAAGTCATAATGAGCAAGAGCCTACACAGTGCACCGAAACGTCTCCAAAGGATGATGATGAAACTTCAGAAGTTTGATGTCACAGTTACTTACCAGAAGGGTACGGAGTTATATGTTGCAGACTTAGGCGTGCATACTTTACCACAGACGGGATCATCCAACGATGATGTCGACCATGTCTTCTCTGTCAGATTACCCACTGAAATAGAAACTGAAGCCATTGACATGAAACAGTATGTGTCAATCTCAAACAAGTCCTTTGAGAAAATTCAAGCTGCTACTCGTGCTGACCATGGAATGAAGAGACTGATAGAACTGATACAAAATGGATGGCCTGAAACGAGAAATGGTCTTCCAAAGTCAGCCCAAGACTACTTCAATTTCAGAGATGAACTTTCAGTTCAAGATGACATCATCTTTAAAGGTGAACGTGTTGTCATTCCCCCAAGTATCCGACAATGGTATATTGAAAGGATACATTCAAATCACATTGGAATCAATGGGTGCATTCGCAGAGCACGAGAACTTGTCTATTGGCCAAACATGGTGAAGGATCTGACCGAATACATCAGCAAATGTGAGATTTGCAAGAGTGTACAGCAAGAGCAAGGTAGAGAACCACTCATCAGCCATGAAATTCCAGCAAGACCAATGGAGAAAATCGCATGTGATCTCTTCGAATTTGATGGACGAGACTATCTCCTTACAGTGGACTACTTTTCTGATTTGTTCGAATTTGAATGTCTACGAGAAAAAAACTCTTCAGAAGTCATTGGTAAACTCAAAGCGTTCTGTGCCAGACATGGTATTCCAGATGTTATGATCACAGACAATGGGCTGCCATTCAATTCTAATGCTTTTGCCAGCTTTGCCCAGCAGTACGTATTCCATCATGTGACGTCATCACCAAGATACCCACAATCAAATGGGAATGTTGAAAATGCAGTCAAAACAATGAAAAGGTTGATGAAGAAATCCAAGCTAGCCAATACAGATCCCTATCTTGTTTTGCTAGATTGGCGAAACACCCAAACTGAAGGAGTGGGCACATCTCCAGCACAGCGACATTTTAGTCGTAGAACGAAGACTACCCTGCCAACAGCCAAAACTCTGCTGGATATCAATTTCCTGAGTTTGTTTTCCTCACTCAACCGGACTAGCTTCACGTTAACGCGTTTTCGTAAATTCTCCATCGTTTTGCCAAATACAGAGTTGTTCATGAGTTTGTACAGGCTTTCTCGAAGTCGCTGGTGTCTATCTTACGTATATCCGTGTTCATTCTGATGTATGGTTCCATCCACTTGCTTTGATTGAATTTTAGTACCCTATGTATTTTAGTCAGCTTCATACCCAGCGACAGATATAGTTGTAAATTGCAATAGTGAATGATGTACTTGGTTTTATTCATCAAGTTAGGTACGAGTTTTTCAACGTTTACCACCCATCCTGTAGGACCCAGCAAATTTCGTTGGTAGTCAGACATCCATTCCATATTCACCTTCAAACGCTCTGGAGCCAGGGGATAACTGTTGTGTGAGGTGTGTAACTCCTCCGGATAGTCTGAATCAACTTCTAGTATATAACCCTTGTTCGAATCCGGTGCGATGCTCATAACATCATCGATCTCAGATGTCCACTCGAAACCATAGGTAGGTAGATACTGGCTCATGGCCCAGCCGTACAGGTTGTTAGCATCTAGAAAGAGTAGATAGTTTGTAGTTTTTTTATGGTTGTATCCTTTCCACCGCATTACCCTTTCTCTATAAACAGATGCATATCGTGATCGGTGAATAATTCTAATTTCACACCGGTTTTCTTCAGTAGGGCATCCCACGAGAGCCCAGGACTTGAATAATACCATGCCGGGTCCAACCCGTATTGCTTCGAACACGTTTTTCTGAATATCTCGAAAACATCAGCCAGCAATAACACATCTGTTTTCAAATACAAATCGTGATAATCACCTAGATTCTGACACCCAAGTTTTCCCATACTTTTTCGAGTGTTCGTAATCATCTTGTGTGATAGACGCATCGGACAGCTTGCTATAGAAGCTGTCAATGGGGAGGTAACTGTGTCTCATTAAACTTAGACCAGTCATCCATATATTCATACGGGTAGATACCCTTACGTAGCAGCAAAGCTTGAGTTTCCTCTTCTGCGTAACGATTAGTTACAGCTAAGTCGTTCGGGTTATTAGCCTTGACCAAGCTGTCTAGAGACGACAACAAAACAAAACACTATCTCAAGCCATTTATCGAAAAGGATATATATATTTCCATATTGTTTGGGATACAGGATATGTTGCCTTTTACCTTTGAAATAGCTTGCATAATCAAGTGTGAATCATACCGCGAAGATTGTGAAACACCACTGGTATATGAATAAGTTTATGATTTATTCTTAGCTTCAAGTTACATTCATTGTGAGCCGCACCTCTGTATTTACCAGTAATGTGACAGTGATCTCTAACTGAATCACTATTCAGAGGTTTACAGCACACATGACAATGTGTGCTTTTGTTGTGGGCTTCCCGGTCTGCTTGGGTCATACACATTGGTGTTTTGTTGCATAGTTTTTTAATAATCTTTTTCTCTTCGTGTTGTAAACACTTTAGAAATTCTTCAGCAGCGTCTTGTCCTCTATAAATAACGGGAGGGTTAGTTTGACCATCACAACGAACGACCACATACCCGAACCCACACGCTTCATGCTCTTGTACTTTTTGTGTGAAACTTTGATTAGTGGATTGAGCTTCGAAGTCGGCGTAGATAATATATGGTACTGGCATTTGATTTTTGTGGTTGAAAAATTTCTCTCGGCACGCTGTCTCCCCTACACCTAGGCAATCAACCCTGTCCGAATCTAGCAGATCAGCCCTAGAAAACCCGTGAAGGCACCTTTCACAAAAGTGTTTCTTTTCCCTGTGTTTCGATTGATTGTACAACAGTCTGCTGAAATTCTTTATCCATGTGTAGTGATATTTTTCACCTTGTTGGATCATAAATATATTGATCATTTTACGACAATCCTAATACAATAAAGGACTTATCCTGTGTACTTTTACGTTTTTACCTATGTGTCCGAAAACGGTTATGGCTAAGTCTGGATTCTGTTGTTCTATTTTTTGGATCTGAGAGATGGGGGTGGGTTCGTCTATACCTTCCCAATTGAGCCCATCATCTTCTGGATAACTTGAAAGTCTATCGGAATGTTTTTCAACTGGAAATTTAGCGGATCTTATCGCTATCCTCATACAATTGTTACCTCGGTTTTTAAACGTTAACCATAGCTTGTTTTTTCTTGAAATACTCAGACAGGGGTAAGTACGATCCACCTTTCAACGGTATATAGTTTGCTATATCCAGGTAGACCATGTTAATCTTGTCAACAACCCAACCAGAACCCATATTAGTGTAATGTTCTAGTGTTTCTCGAATTTTTTCTAATGATCTGTCTGTAGAAGAGTTGATAGTGTCTGGTTGCGTTGTAACTTCTTGATTACCTCTGAAGTAAACATTGGTGTATTCAGTTGTTTCATTCGACTGTTGTGTCTCTAGTGTCATGTTTAACGTGAGCTGAAATTTAATACCTCTTAAATCTTTCAGTTCTTCGTTTACTTTCAAATACCAATGGTTTTATATCTTCAACGTCTATATTTCTTTGAACTTTCATCTTCCAAACTCTGAAATATTTACCTACAGCATGCTCAGTAGGCGTGAATTGTAATTCTATAGGTTTTTGTTCTTTCAGTAATTCAATGAGCTCAGATTTACTCATACGAGAATAACCTTGCATTCCACGTTCACGAGCTTGCTTTGTTAGTTCTTTCACAGTAGGTGTTTTTATACTTATAACCTAATAAAGCTAGTAATTCATGTTTTCTCATGCGAGAATAACCTCAAAGTCCACGGTCTCGTGCTTGCTTTTCAATTCATGTACTGTAAACATATCATAAAGTTACAAACACAGTGTTGATGTGCTATATGTGAAAACAATTCTCTAAATAGACCAACATCCTTCATGTTAAACATAAGATGATGTAATAGATATAGAAGTGTGTAATCTAACCCGTAACATACACCTTTTGTACATCGAGGGACTTGATACCATTTGGCTTCATGAAAATGTGAAACTCTCATGGTGAGAAAAACATAAACACAGTCTTCCTCGGGAGACTATTTTACAGGGGAGATAAAAAGTTATGTGTTTACAAATTAATAGGATGCTTATTGATTCAATGCCCATTACCACATAGTCTTCCTCTTTGGGAGTAAGACTATAGCTACTTTACAGGTGAGTTGAAAAGTAGTTATGTTATGGAATAGATACTTAATGATTTCTTGCCTTATATGGTGACCATTACTACACCATAGTCTTGCTCTTTCGAGTAAGACTATGGTTACTATTTCCCTGAAAAGTATCCATAGTCTTAATCTTTCGAGTAGGACTATGGATGCCTTTTACAGGGGAGATAAAAAGTAGTTGTGTTATGGGTTTATGGTCTCGTACCACATAGTCTTTCGAGTAAGGCTATGGATACTTTTTACAGGGGAGATGAAAAGTAGTTGTGTTATGGATTTAAAAATTAATATGAGTTAGGAATAGATACTTATTGATTCCTTGCCTTATATAAGGCTGGTCCATTACCCCCATTGTTTATACTACTAAAGGATTTGTGTTTTCCAGGAGCGGCAGCATGCCATATATAGGCTATATGATATGCCTGAACAGGTTACGACAGGTAGTATATATGAAGAGTGAGGCCAGGGCGGACAAAGGCGTTACCTGACGCATCTCTGTGTACAAGCTTTGGTGAAAAGCCACACCTCTCCTGATTTAACTAAGATTGTTGGTATTGCGTTGGCGCCTATGTTTCATCTATATTAGTACAGTAACATATTATCTGCTTGTTCATTGCTTAAAGTAGCATTATCAGATAAACATAAATGTTCATATTTTCTCTCATTACACTTCATCGACAGGTATGTATTGTGATTCGTAATGCTTACTTGCTCCAAAGACGGAATATTGCAGTACAGTCTGTGGAGCTTTCCTATAAAGGTAGCGAAAAGAGTTTTGTGACATATTAAATTTCTGCGGCTTTAAATAGTTTTCGATTTTATTACAGCGAGGTTCTGTTTATTCGAGACAGGGACGGACGTTTGGAATCTTCGGCTCAAAGTAGAATTGCAACTATAATATGCTGGCCTATTCCCCCCGTTCGTCGTGTATTCTAGAACAATGTATTGTATTTAAATGCGCACTTTACACGTCCATCTAAATTCTAGAAAACGTATGAAAGAGCCGCACTGTGGGTGCCATAAAACCCTGTCAATACAAAGAGTAACTATTA